ATACACATGCAATTATGAAAAAAGAAATTTCGGCCTCCAATTATCAACAATAAATAGTCAGAAACTGAAATTTACATACATATACATATATAAGAGAGAAACAGGGAAAAATAGTTCACACAAAAAATTCACAGCTCACAAAAATGGATATAGCAATTAGAAAAAAGTAATAAACAAAACAGCATAATCATCATAGCTGATACAAAGAGTAATAAACTTGGATCTCTAAAGTCTTACCCCATGAATGAACCAAATCAGCCACCCCAAATCAATATATCTTCTTATCCATTTATATGAAATTCCCCCAAAAAACCCCATTAGACTACTCAAATTCAGTACTGCTAGGTTTCAAAGATAATAAAATAAAAAAATCAATATTGCTAAACAAAACCCATTAGCCATGTAATTCCAAGAGTTACCAGAGCAGAAACTTCATCTTCTATGGCTTCAAATACAAATTCCCAAACACAAAAGCAAAAACTTCAAATTTAATTCTCAAAAACGAAAATTCGTTGTATACCTTGAACAGAATTTCGAGCAATCAGTTCAAGGAAGGGACATGCAAGAATGAAATTGAGACCGCCTATGCCGCTATTAGCCACCACCGCCTGACTGCCGCTATTAGCCACCACCTCCTGACTGCTGCCTTCGTCTACTTCCTCAGATTTATTTGCTTATTTTCCTCTTAGAATTTTTGAGTGATTTTTTTCGTGATTTTCACCTCAGAATTTCGAAGTAATCCTGGAGTTGAAGAAAATATGTGAATGTGAGAAGATGGGGAGAATTGGGGGAAATGGAGAAAATGGGGAAAATGGAGAAAATGGGTGATGTGAGAATGGGTTAATTGGGTACTATGAGAATCCGTGAGAATGAGTTGTGAATAAAAACGTGTTGTTCAAAATATTTGGTGAAAAAATTAGAGGGAAAAAATGCGCGCTTCTAAAATTTTCATGATACAACACATACCGTTGCATTAGCTCTCATTTTTGTTAAAATAGCTAGGCTATTGCAACGATTCTTTAGAGCCGTGGCAATAGCTCTACCTCTAAGAACATTAGTTTTAAATCCGTGGCAATAGCCTACTCTATTGCACCGGCAATTAAAATACCGTTGTATTAGCCTTTATTAGGCCGTTGCATTTGGTAAAAAATGTAGTAGTGTATATGTAAATAGGTGTTTGCATAAGTTAACTTCATGAGATAACTAGGTAAGTATCATATGAATACATAAGTCATGTAAGTGTAGGAGTCTTATAGTTTATTCTACATAAGTCGTGTGAAGGTAACTATATGTAAATTGGTGTTTGCATAAGTTAACCTCATGAGGTAACTAGGTAAGTATCATAAGATTACATAAGTCGTGTATGTGTAGGAGTCTTATAGTTTATTCTAGTTTTCTTTTAGATGTCTCTATGTTGTAATGTTTTTTGTTGTACCATGTCAGAGTTTATTAAGTCACTCATATATCAAATAAATTACACGAAGCATCAAAAGAGTAGATATTGATAAGTGTTGCAACAAAATTAGATATTTTACCCCCGCTATTTCTAAAAGTTTTTTCCATATGAAATCTTGGCACTATTCATATGATAAAGGAATATTTTAAATTACTTTCAATATATAAACATAACACAGTCATGTTGAGTTGTATTTGATCCGTCTTAATGAATAGATCATTAATATTTTACTCTATTGGGTTTTTTTTTTTAAGTAATTTATACCTTTTTTTTTAGTAATACTAATTTATACCTAAAGATATTTATGGTCAATGTAATGGATTGGGGAATACATACAATAAAATTGAAAGTAAATTTTAGGAATGGAGGAAGAATATTATAGGGATTTTAGAAATGTGTCAAAAATATGTTTTTTTTTTTAAAAAAAAAAAACAGCACCTGATTTGAGTAAGTTCTCACTATTAATCGACAACCTAACTAATAAAACAAACGGATTTTTCACCAAATACCCTTGAGTAATTTTTTTATTCACCATATACCCATGAAAATTTTCAAATTAACCATATATGCCATCGAGTTTAACAGAAATGTCACTAAATGCCCAAATCATAAACGGACGTTAACTCCATTAATCATTAAGGTCAAATTTTCCACGTGGCAGCATTTAATTGGATTTTTTTTTAAAAAAAAATTTAAAATAACAATACATTTCATCATCAAATAATAATAAAAAAAAAATTAAAACAAACCCACCGACCACAGCAATTTAGGGTAAAAATACCCCAACACGTGGTCCAATCCTATAGTGACACGTGGCCCAATAATAGGGCGTCAAAGCAACACGTGTCCCAATAGGAAGATGGCACGTGGCAAACAAGAGAGCAGCTGAATGAGAGAAGGCCTCCTTTCATTAGGAGGCCCAAATCCCAAGAAAGGCGCCATATCGGTGCCCCCAAAGGACCCTTGTCCCTACCTAATTGCGCCGCTAATTAGAGCACGCTATTCTAGGTCACTAAACCCTAGATGGAATACATTCCAACCCCTATACATACCCCAATCATTTATGATGGGAGAGGTTGATAGAGACATCATATTTATTGCATAAGCAATTTACTCCAACTTCTCTCTACTTTCTCTCTCTAAATACTTTCATTATCCGATCACTAACTTGATCGTTGGAGGCGAATATTCCGTCAAACGGTATATTCGTTGTTTTACAGGTGTCCGCGATCGTCTGACTATATTCAAGACCTGTATTCAGAGCGATTCTAAAACACCCCAAAATATTTGGCGCCGTCTGTGGGGATACACGTCTGAAATGGCTAAAGATGGTCAGACATCCAGTCTTGGCTAGGATGGACATGTCGAGAATATCATTGCTACAATCAACAATAGTGATCCTCTGACCGCTTTCTTCCATTACGCGGAGGATCCTCCTGTAACGGCCGGCTCCTTGCAGTACGCCTTGAACAAGCTTCGAAAAGAGCTTGAGGGTAAGATACCTTCTTCTTCTAGATAACCGTACAGAAAAGAGGAAGAGAGCATCGGGAAAAAGTCTCAAGACAAGACGACCAACAACAAAGATGCAGGGAACAATCCGTTCTAAAGACATTTGAGGTCCCCAAGGGTGCCTCGGATGAACTGGTCTAGGCTTCTTGAGAAATCAAAGTCGGCTGGGGGGGCAGACCAAGCAGCCTCTTAGGCAGCTGAATGAGCCTTCCTAGCACTGGAAGGATGCTAGAGACTATATACGGCACAAGCAGCAGGAGTGAGCACAATCCTACTACTCGGAAACTGCTTCCACTCCCACCATGCCGGATGAATTTTCAAACCATACCCTTTCCAAGCATACTAGCTCGGCCAGGACCAGTAGAAGTCAAGCTCACCGTACTCAAACTCCAATTTTTTTAACTCAACGACCTCAGTTTCAAATGCCTAATGATTATGGTGCAATTCTGCCGCCTACTCCCCCGTGTATGGGCCGTATGGACAATATGGTCCGCCGTAAAACCAAGCGGCTTACCTGGGCGGACTGGCCGCACAACCTCAGCCTACTAATTGGAAAATGCGCTTGTTGAACCTTGGGGACAAGCCGCCTCCGTTTTCTCATGAAATTCTAAACTCTCCTCATCCAGTCAAAGTTAAGAGTGTACTTGTGGGCGTCTACGATGGTACGGACAACCCAGAGGAGCACATATCCTTGTACAGAAATCTCATGTACTTGCAAAGTGTGGATGATGATACTTGGTGTAAATGCTTCCCAGCCACCCTCAAGGGAGTGGCTCAGGACTAGTTCAACAGTATGCCCGGCCGGATGCATCAATTGCTTTACAACTCTCAGCATGTTGTTTGTTGGAAATCTCTCCTATAACATACCACCCCGAAAGACTAGTCTTAACTTGGCGACCATCGTCTAAGGGAAAAAAGAGGTTGCGTTCGTACGTATAGAGGTTTAATATGGAGAAAGCACAAATTCATAATCTGCCGGATGAAATGGCCTACTTTGAGTTTCTTTGAGGTCTAAGGCACAATGGTTTCAAGTTTGAACTGATCAGAAAAAAGATTCGGACATACGCAGGTGTTCTACGGGAGGCTGAATGATGCATTGAGGTAGGTGATTTCTATTCGCTGACAAAATCAGAAGATCCGGCCTCGGGCACTGAGAATAAGTCATCCTCTCAGCAAGACTCGGCCGTCAAAAAGAAAGAAGGAAACAACAAAAGAAAAAAGGTTTGGGTGGCTGATTGCCAACAGACCAAGTCCAAGAAAGCCAAGATGTACGAGCCATAGTATGAATACAACAAAGATTATTACTCAATTATGATGGAAATCAAAGACAAGTTCGAGTTTGAGAAGCCCCAGCCTTTGTGAGGGCCGACCCAGTACAGAAACAAAAACAAGTACTGCCATTACAACAAGGATTTGGGGCATGATACGAACGACTGCAACAATTTAAAAAGGCTGTTAGATAAGTTGGTCGAGAAGGGCATGCTCAACTTGTACGTTCTGAAGTCTAAATTCACCTACTCTCGGACGGACAACAAGTCCTAGAAGAAGAAGGAAAAAGAAAAAAGATGATGAAGATGAAAATAGCACGGACTCCGCGTTCACTACTACAAAAACATGAAAAGAAACCCCCTAAAATTGGCATAAGAAACCACTTTAGAGGGGGTCTCAAGTTCAATGGTCTCTTACGTTAAGAAACCACTTTTTTAAGGGGGTTTGTTTGATCTTATTAAATAACCCCTTTTCTAAAAAAGGGGGTTTCTTAAATGCTCCTTAAATTATTAAATCATAGTATTAAAAGAACCCCTTTTTTCAGAAAAGGGGTTTCTTATATTTGTACTTAAGGGACCACTTTTCTAAGAGGGGGTCTCTTTGATTTGTCCATAAATTAAATAAAATAGTTATATATATTGCAATATAACTATCAAATACATTTTTCATATACGCGATAGTTATACCACAATATACTTGTATATTTAATAACTCTAATACAGTTAGAAAACTTAGAACTTTCACATAAATAATAATACAGGCTAAATTAGAAAAAAAAATATGATACGAGTACTTAATAGTATTAATTTACTATACAAAACGTTAGTACATAAACAAAAATCAGTTATTTAAAACTAATACAGAAATTACAGTTTAAACAAAAAAAAAAGCATTAGATTCTTCTAATTCCTTTGTTGGATTTTAATTCCACCTGCAAAACACAAAAAAAATTAATGAATTAATGATAACTCAAAGGTTACAAAGAAAATTTGAATGAAATAGACGAATTTAAAAGTAATTAAAAAAGAATAATCTCAAAAAAATTGACATAGAATATCAAAATCAAAATGTACACATGCATAAGCAAACTAGTTAAACAATTAAGAAAAAACCGTAACCTCACCTCAACCCAACCCACCACCGTAACCCCACCCCTCACCCACCACGACCACCACGAAACCTAACCCACCTAGCCCAAATCCTCCTAACCCATACCCACGTATCACTTAGCCCAGATGCACCCAAATCCTAAACCCACCTGGCCTAGATCCTCCTAACCCTGACCGAACCCACCCACCACCTTACACCACCTAACCCTAATCCACCCACCACCTTAACCCACCTAAGGACCTTTAACCCGAACCCACCCACCAGACCCACCAAAAACCACCCACATCCAAACCAACGAAACAAGTTGTGAATTTTTTTTTAAAAAATAAATAAAAAAAAAACCTTTAAAATCGAATTTTGCTTTGAATGTCACCTTGAATTTGGTTTAATATGGTCAAATTCGACCATGAAACCTCTAGATCTAGAGGTTTCATGGTCGAATTTGACATGAGTAACCATTACATTTGAGAACACGGCATGCGACGCCGGCGAGAAGGAAGACAACAACACTTCCATGGGTTTTGTTGGTTGAATATGGTGGTGGTGGTGGTTGTTGGTTCCGCAGCGGTGGTGGTTTTTGTTGTTGGTGTGAGAAGGAGAAGAGAGGAGATCGAATTGAGAAGGAGAAGAGAAATGAAGGAAGGAGAAGGAAGAGAGAGAGGGGGCGGATGAGAGAGAAGGAGGGGGCGGAGGAGTAAAGAAAAAGATCTGAAGAGGCAAAAGGATAGGAGAGAGAAAAGAGAAATAAAAGGGGGGGTAGTTTTGTTGTTTTTAGGGTTTGGTTTTATCTTTTTTTTTCAGTTTTTTTCGGATTTTTTTTATTTTTAAAGGAGTATTAAAGCTGATTAAGAAACCAAAAAAATAAATCTAAGAAACCCCTTTTTGTAAAAGTGATTCCTTAAATATAAGTAAACTTATAGAAATATATAAGGAACCATTTTTCTTTAGAAGGGGTTTCTTATTTACATGTATAAGAGACCCCTTATTTGAGAAAACAGGTTTCTTTTATTAAGAATTTCTTTTTAGTGATTCTTTTGGATAATTTTGTAGTATTGGTTCATGGTCGTCATATCAGGCGGCTTTGCTGCAGACGACCCAACCAGGAAGGGAATTAAGCAGGATATTCGGCAATTTGGAAAGGTCATGCACACGAAAGATGTGAAGGTGGAGCCATTCCCAGAGGTGATTGTCTGCAAGGCAGACAAAGTTAAGATTAGGACTCCCCTTGATGATCCAATGGTGTTCATATTGAAGGTTGCTAATTTGAAGGTTGGACGAGTGCTAATAGACACCGACAACTCGTCCGACATAATCAGCTTAACTTGTTTGAAAAAAATTAAAGTTCCTGGAAGATGCACTAAAGGATATCTCTAACCCGTTGGTTGGGTTTGGTGGGAGCATTATCCACCCAGTTAGCCAGATAGACTTGCTAGTCCTGTTTGGGCCAAAGAGAGAAGGAAGGTGTTCGGTTTCGTAGTGTCCGACACTACGCGGAATGAAACCCTCCCAAGACCCGCACACAAATTAATGTAACTAAACATGCATATTAAATATTAATCACATAATTAACTAAGAGAGAGAAAAGACGATCTCATCCTCGACGCGTGCTACGCTCCTTTAGAGCTCGTACTTGAAAGCGCTAGCTCCGCAAGCGCGTGAGCCTCCGACGGCTCACACCCTCGAGAGTCGACCCGAACGGTCCCTACCCTGAATGTTAGTCGAGGCAAGACCAAGAACTTAGAGTATTAGAATTAAGGTATTCTCTTCTTGGAGATCCCTTAAAATTCTCAACTCAAGTGTCCCTTCCCAATCCCAAATGATGGGTATTGATAGGGAAGGGTGCCTTGAATTCCAATCTCCCGTAATTGTGGGAGAGTTGGTTAAAATGCACTTTATTCAATTTATTTTGATTCAAAAACAAATTAAAATGCAAGTGGATCAACAAACAACAAGTGACAAGAGGTGAGCAAGGGGGCTAGGTGAGGACCACTAGGGGGGGACCAAACACCACTTGCTCCCCAAGTAATTCCCAAACAAACCGGCTGCCACACGCCTCCACTCAGCACGCACCAGCTGGCGCCCGAGCTAGATACCAAAGGCACGCCCAGCTGACGGCCTGGTACCTTAGCTGGGCCTGCCAGCTCGCCAGCGCATGCGAGCAGCCCAACACGCATGCCTCGCTTTCTAGCGGGCTGCTGCTAGGTGCATCCCTCGCTAGCGATGCCCAGCGTGCTATGCTAGCAGCTGGTGCGTTGCTTGTGAGGGGTGATGCTCGCAGCTCGATACTCTCGCAAGGCATTTGCTAGCCCAGCCATGCGTGCTGGTGCTGCTGCTGCGTTCCTCGTGCTAGCAAGGCCCAGCAAGCATTTGCGTGCTGCTGGACTTGCGATTGTACGGCAGGTGCTGCTATGTGCGAGGCACTAGCATGCTAGCACGCCTAGCGCGCCAACAATGTTCGCCATGCCGCACCAGTTAGCTAGATTGCACTTGGCTCTCGGATTGCTCGGGGCATTCCGAGGCTAGGGGTATATTTGTAATTTGTTGTTTACATGATTCCTCGTCTCGTCGAATTCTAAATTCGACTCGACTTACGACGCTCGGTTTTGACGCTCTAAGCTCGATATCCGACGTCTTTGTTTGTAATACTCTAATGACTCCTCTAATCCTAAGAATTGATTCGTCGCCTCGGATCGGTTACTCGATTGGGGTGTGACCGGAAGGGTTCAGTCAAGATTAAGCTGTAATATTAATTATACATTAATATTACTGATCGGAAGCGGCCTCCACCTAGACATTCCGATCACTTGACCTCACAGAATAATAAGCTTTCTAATAATTTCGAACCCTCTATCGAAATAAAACACTTGTTGGAAGGACACCATTCCTTTCAATCTCCCACTTGTCCTTCCCGATAAGTGTACAGTTAGTGTATGACCCATTTCCTATGTCACTTAATGTCTCTTCATAAACTATAAGGTAAGATTCTTCGTCATTCTTATTACGTCCATAAGTGTTTCTCAATCTCCGAGTTCGACTGTCAATAAGCAGATGATTTCTAAAATCCATCTGAGCACGGCCATGCATTTTCAGTCTCGCTCAAAGATAGGTTCTCTATTGTTAATAGGGGGACATTCCCAGTCTTGTATTATTAGCTTCCCTTACTAAGAGGACCTAACAGCCTGAGTGTTGCCGTTATAATCCCCATTTACGGCAGACGTTTGACAACATCAAAACGGACTAGTACTCAAACAAGAGAACTTACAATACTCATGGTGGAAAATGGTTCCGATAGCAATAATGAGATATATACTTATGACGATTTTAAATCTCTTAAAGTATTCTCATAGGTCAATTCAGTATAGTTCCAAACTAATACCTGTGCAAATGATTTATAACAATCATGTCCTTGTAGCACAAGAAATGGTGCTATAAATCATACTACACACTAATCTCAAGTGGTCATTAATCGTCCATCATTCAAATTACCTTAATTAGGGATAATTTTCGATTGAAAATATTTAATGTTTACTGAACAGGTGTTTCTTTATCCAAGATATTCTCAAAAATCGAATTGACTCATTATTTAATTCTAAACCACAATTAAATAGAAATGGAGTGATAATAATTTTGCAGAAAATTTAATTACCCAAAAACAAATGGTTTAACATAGTGTTTTACATTAAATACCTCAAATTTAATTAAAACACATAATAGGGAAATCGAAGCCAATTTCTAACGTGCCTGATTCCCATTGCCTCAATGTGTTTGTTGTGTTTCACTTGAGGCAAAGGTTTAGTGAGTGGTCGGCTACATTGTCGTCCGTTTCAATCTTACAAATTCTGATTTCACCCTCAGACTTCCATTTCTTTATCATGTGAAATCGCGTTTTGACATGTATGACCTTCTGATGTTCCCTTGGCTCCCTAGCCTGAGCAATAGCTCAATTGTTATCACAATAGAGGTCTATCGAATCCTTGATGGAGGGTACAACATCAAGTTTGCTAATGAACTTACGAATCCAAACTGCCTCCTTAGCTGCTTCTGAAGCTGCCAAGTATTCGACTTCAGTTTTAGAATCTGCAGTAGAGCTTTTCTTAGCACTCTTCCAACTAAACGCTCCTCCATTTAGACAGAATATGTACCCTGACTGCGACTTGGAGTCATCTCTGTCAGTCTAGAAGCTTGCGTTGGTATAACCTTCAACAACCAAATCATTACTTCCACCATAGACCAGGAATTTATCCTTGTTCCTTTTCAGGTACTTTAGGATATTCTTTGCTGCAGTCCAATGCGCCTCTCCTAGGTCTGATTGGTATCAACTCGTAGCACTCAAGGCATACGATACATCTGGCCTAGTACATATCATGGCATACATGATCGATCCAATAAGCGAAGCATATGGAATCTGAACTGATCATCTTGAACATCCCATGAAGCTCAGTGAGGGTTTTCTCCATGCTGTGCATATTATAGTTCATCTTGAATTGATCATAGCCTTAGTGTAGTGAATGGAGAATAATGTCAATTGCCATCTCGGTCGAATACCCAGCGTCAAGCCTTTCCATGTTCTTAAATAATCCGATCGTTTTAAGTACATGTGGGCTGACTGGCTCTCCTTTCTTGAGCTTGCTCTCAAGGATCTGCTTGTGAGTTTTGAACCTTTTAGTTTGGGCCTGCTCTTGGAACATGTTCTGAAGTTCAGAAATGATTTCAAAAGTCGTCTCCCTTTCAAAGAAAGTCTTTTGGAGGTGCGGAGACATCGTGGCCAATATGATGCACTTGACATCCCGATTGGCAGTTTGCCATCGGTTAAGGGCAGCCTGAGTGACCTCCTCATTGGGAGCGTCGGGCATTTCCTCATCAAGGACGCATTTCTTTTGCTCTTGCATGAGAACTATACGTAAGTTCCTTTGCCAATCAAAAAAATTTGGCCCACTCAACTTCTCCTTATCGAGGATTGAGCGTAACGAAAATTGGTTGTTTCGGTTATTTGCAGACATGATTCTACAATTGAAAGAATTTGAAATGAAAAACCATTCATAAAACCAATAAGTTTGAAATTTAAAGCATACATACTAATTTTCAATCTTATTGAGCGTTTTATCCACGCATTAATATTTGTCCCTTTTAGGCGAGAATAAAACGATTCCAAGATCCCAAAAATCAAAAAGTGATTAAGCATGCTTTGGCTTGTCTTAACACTTAATATTTTTAGGGTAAGCAATCTAATTACTAATAGCTCTAAGCTACTCTTGGTTCTATAAAACGTCGCATCTAATGCTTCCTTGACGTTTAATCTCCATTGCCACGACATCTAAGGACTCCTTACTGATATATCGTTGAGCTTAACCAAGACAACTTGTATACCGAGTATACCTGACGTTCCTAGGGAAGTAGTGATGCCTCTCTTTGGCGTAGCCCATCACTATGCGCATTAGTTCGGTAAGTGTTGTTCTTGGAATGGCAAATTTAGCTCAATATTATAGGGACCTAGGGTTTTTATGTTGGTTTATTTAAGTGAACTTAATTAATCATCGCAACATTCAAAATCCTAAATATGCATCTAACATACCATTCATTCATATATAAAC